AGTGGTCCTGGACACACAAAGAAAGATGTGCTAGGTATTATTCTAGAGATGCCCTAGTACCTTGTCAACCCATTTAATTCTCCTTTGAACAATCTATCATGGCTTCTCTCCAGAATTTGCCAGTGAAGTTCGGGCACATCGTTGTGGAACAGGCATGTGACTTTTTGCAGGTTTTGTCATTTCAAAGAAACCAGAGTCCGTTGCTTCCAGTCTCCATGCCTGACCATCATTGGGTTCCACTGCTGATGGCCCAGGACCTTGTCTTTGATTGGCTATAACTCAGACCCATGCTAGAGCAAAAGGGAAGCTTCTAGGAGGGAGGACGGGCCGGACTGGGCCCCTGGGGTGCAGAAGCGGAGTGGGGTGCGGTGGGGTCACCGCGGCTTTGGAACATCTCCTGGGTGGCCTGGCCTCAGGATTGAGAGCAGGTGGGGAGGGGGACACCCCTCTGTGCCCAGCTGGCTGTCAGAACGACTTCCAATCTCTGGATCAAAAGTCCAGCTGTGACTTCTGGACACTCTCTTCTTCTCTCGAGAAATCCCCACCTTGTGGGGGTCGGGAGCTGAGCGATCATCAGATGCGGGGGGGGGGGGGGGGGAGCGGGGGAGGCGGGACAGGGGGCTGGTCCGCTCCCAGATGGGCTGGGGGGGCTAGGAGGAGGGGAGGCGGGGCGGGGCCTGGCGGGGCGGGGCCTGGCGGGGCGGGGCCGGGAAGGGGCGGGGCCGTCCCAAGGCCTGCTCCCTAGCAGCCAGAGGCTCCGCCTCCTCCGGACAGAGACGGTCTGGCAGTGTGCCGCCGCGGCGCGCCCGGCGGGCGTGTGCCCTGGGATGCCCGTGCCCGTAGCTGTGGCCTTTGGGGTGTGACATCTGGAGATTCCCGGGGTCCTGCCTCCTCCGGTCCCCCTCTCCCCGCGCCCGCGCGGTGTCTTTCCTGAGGCCCCGGCTGCGTGGAGCTCCGGGCCTGAGGCTGACCCTTGCCGCCCGGCCTGCGATCCCGGTGTCCTGCCGATTCCTGGGCTCTTAGGGCCGTGTTTCCCCGTAGCCTGGCTCGCTGGAGCGGTTCCTCCAGCTCCCTGGCTGGGGCGGGCCCCCTCACGCCCACCCGGCGCCCCCGAACCCGGCCGCGGGGCGGTTCTGGTCACACCCAGGCTCAGGCCTGAGTCGGGGTCTGAGGTCCCTGCCGCAGCCAGGCAAGTTCGTGGGTTCGGCCCACGCCACTCTGGTCCTAGCGCTCGTTCCGTCACAGGAGGCCGGGAGCGGAGGCCTGGCCCGCCCCAGCCGGCTTCCCGCGCTGGCCACGCCGGGGGAGCAGCCCCGCGGGCTGGCGGCCAAGCCCCCGCCAGCCTCGCCCGCCACCTGCCAGCACGCAGCCCATCGAGGGGGGGAGGTGACAATCTTGGGCAAACCCAGTTATTTCCTAAGCCCGACTTGTCGGGGAACCCCTGATGGACGGGCCGGGGCTGGGGCGTAGCCAGCAGCCTGGACTGGACCCCGAGTTAAGGCTGGCTGAATAGTTGCATGACCCACTTCTAAGTGCAGGGACCTGGCAGCCGGCATGAGCAAACAGACCAGCGAACTGCTCCCTCCGCGGCGGGCCAGGGGCAGGGCCAGCAGCTGCTCTGGGGCTCTGCCTGCGTGGGGAACAAGAAGGGACCCCGCCGGAGGGTTCTTCGTGGGCACGTACCGAGCTGGGGGTGTGAGACTTTGCAGCTGTGCCCCTGCGGTCTGGGCCCTGGCCCCGCCCCTCCGCGACGCCCCGCCCCCCCGCGACGCCCCGCCCCCAGGCCCGCCCGCGCCCCAGATGTTGCGCTCCGCCCCGGCCGCGCCCCTCGCCTGCCCGCCGGCCCACACCTCCGGCTGCCTGTCCTCGCCCTGCCGGCTCCCGTGCAGCGGCGGGCGTCCTCCGGTCACTCCAGGACCCGCCCGCCGCGTCCCCTGGGCAACCGTCTCCAGGGAGACCGAGCCCCGCCCCTGGCACCGACACCGGGTACGCAGCCCACCTGCGCGGGCGTCTGCGGGGCCCCAGTGCGGGGCGCCCCCCACCGCGCGCAGACGCCCGGCACCGCCCCGCGCTGGCTTTGTCAGCCCGGGGCCGGGGTGGGCGGCCATTGGGGGTCGGGGCGCGCGGGGTCCAGGGAGGGGCAGGTCCCGAGCCGACAGCACGCGCACACACGCGCGCACACGCGCACACGCGCCGAGGGCGAGGCTGGGGAGCCCGGCGGGGAGTGTCCGGCGGGGGCTGTGGGGCGCAGCCGCTCCCTGCCGGCCCGCATCCTTTTGTGCTTTCCGGAAGGCGGAGTCGGGGTGCCGGGGTGCCGGGGTGCCGCCCTTGGCGGGACGGAGCGGCCCCGGGGCTCCGCCGCGTGCCTGTGAGAGCCCGAGCCGCCCCGCGCGCCCTCCCGCCCCGCGCGCCCCGATTCCCACCCCGCGCCCCGCCCGAGCGCCGCCTCCCAGGCTCTGCCGGGGAACCGGGCGCGGAGGAGGCCCGCCCACACCGGTGCCGGCCGGCGCCTCCGCCTCCCGCCCCCGGCGGTGACTTCTCCCGGCCCGGCCCGCCCCGCGCCGCCCCGCCCCGCGCTCCCTCCTCGGGGCTCCATTACGCGGTCCCGGCATCTTCCTGTTTGTTCTCATCCCCGTCCACCCTGCTTTGCTCGCGCTCGCTAGTGGGCAGGGGAAGTTATCTCTTGGTCCTCCGGCCGGCAGTGCCCGGGGAAGCCCTGGCCCGTGCCGCCTTCCTCCTGTGGCGCGGGCGGGGACCGCGAGCATCTTCCCGGATCCCGCGGCCGGGCCCGCGCGGGGGTCCTGGGAGATGTGCTCCTGTAGGAACGCATTCGCAGTGCGTGCTAGGCCGGCTGTTTCTCTCGTGGAGAAGCCGGTAGTTTGGGGCTCACTTAGGGGCTTCCAGGCCCCACCCAGTGTGGAGGTCAGGGGTGGGAGTGGAGCTGGTGGCGGAGCTGTCTGTCCGGCCTGGAGCTCTGCTGTCTTTTCTCCCCTTTCCTCAGGGTCATTTTGGTTTTCGGAGCGCAGGGGGGTCGGGGAGGAAAGCAGGGCCTCCCACCGCTGTCCTTTGCTGTTCATCTCCAGAGCCGCACGGGGGATCAATCTAACTTCATGAATATCCTCTCTGTAGCCATTGAACAGAATTCGACCCCACGCATGGTGGAGATCAAAAAGCCAAACAAAACCAACAAGCAGCTGTAAAACTCCACTTGAGTCATCTGCGTGTGCGACCCTGTTGCAGGCTCTGGAAGTTTGCTTTAGTGCCACCAAAGAGAGCTGAGGGTGGCACTGGCGAAGGTGGTTAGGAGGGCCCAAGAAAACACTGCGGACTGGATTCTATAGCGAGAGAAACAAGGCTGAGGCTGCCACTTTTTTGTGTATATGTCATTACTAGGACTTGAGCTCAGGTGCTGCCCCTTTTTTACACTCAGGGTTGGTACTCTACCACTTGAGCCACAGCTCTATATCTGGATTTTTTTTTTTTTTGTCATGGGGTTTGAACTCTGGGCCTGGGCACTATCCCTCAGCTCTTCAGCTCAAGGCAAGCGCTCTACCACTTGAGCCACAGTGCCACTTCTGGTTTTCTGCTGGTTCATTGGAGATAAGAGTCTCATGGACTTCCCTGCCTGGGCTGGCTTTGAACTGTGATCCTCAGATCTCAGCTTCCTGAGTAGGATTACAGGTGTGAGCCACCAACACCTGACAACGTATTGCTTTTTGCTGGCTAATTGGAGATATGAGTCTCACAGACATTCCTGTCTTCAAACCAGGATCTTCAGATCTCAGCCTTTTGAATGTTAGGATTACAGGTGTAGGAGCCACTATCAACCAGCTACTTTTTCTTTTTCTTTCCTTTTTTTTTTTTTTTTTGTTAGTCGTGGATCTTGAACTCTGGGCCCAGGCACCGTCATTGAGCTCTTCAGCTCTTCAGTGTTCTACTACTTGAGCCACAGCGCCACATCTAGTTTTCTGGTGGTTAATTGGAGATAAGAGTCTCGCAGACTTTCCTGCTGGTTTTGAACGTGATGTTCAGATCTCAGCCTCCTGAGTAGCTAGAATTACAGATGTGAGTCACCTGGTGTTTGAACTCAGGGCCTTATAGCTTGTGTCCTTTTGTGTTCTTTTTTTATTTTTATTGTTTTGGCTGGTCATGGGGCTTTAACTCTGGGCCTGTGCACTGTCCCTGAGCTCTTCAGCTCAAGGCAAGCACTCTACCACTTGAGCCATAGTGCCATGTCAAGGCAAGCACTCTACCACTTGAGCCATAGTGCCATGTCCAGTTTTCTGGTGGCTTATTGGAAATGAGTCTCATGGATGTTCCTGCCCAGGATGGCTTTGAGCCCCAATCCTCAGATCTCAGTCTCCTGAGTAGCTAGGATTACAGGTGTGAGCCACCGGTGCATGGACCACACTATCTATTTTTTTTTTTTTTTTTTGGTCCAGTCGTGGGGCCTGAACTCTGGGCCTGGACGCTCTCCCTCAGCTCTTCAACTCAAGGCTAGCGCTCTACCACTTGAGCCACAGTGCCACTTCCAATTTTTTTCTTTTTTGCTTATGTGGTGCTGAGGAATCGAACCCAGGGCCTCATGCATACAAGGCAAGCGCTCTACCACTGAGCCACCTTCCCAGCCCCCACACTATCTTTTTAAGTGGGGCTTCCAACTATGATCTTCTTGTGTATACCTCTTAAGTAGCTAGAATTACAGGTGTGAGCCACTGTGCCCAGCCAGCTGTCACTTTTCTGCCTGCCTGCTTGTCTTCCTTCCTTCCTTCTTTCCTTCCTTCCTTCCTTCCTTCCCTTTTTTTGTTAGAGACCAGGACTCAGACTTTTAGTCCCTGACGCTTTCGCTCATTAGCTGGCACCCGACCAATTGAGTCACGCTTTGAACTCCTAGCTGTCACTGTTGTGTTAACACCATGTGAGAGAACACACAGTTTCTGAAACTTTCTTGTTTTCTAAAACATTTTTCTTCTCTTTCTTTTACTTCAGACACATCAGGAGCTCAGAGTCAGGAAAGGGTGGGATGCAGCTCACTGATGCCAGAGCACATGTAATCTGCCAGCCAGAGTGGCTTTTGCTGGCTGCCTCTTGTGGCCCATCCCAGAGAGGTAGGTTGGCGGAGGGAGTAGTATTAGGGAGGGGAGAAGAAAGAATGCTTTGCTGGTAGGTTAAGAATCTAGAAAAAACCCACAGTTTCCAACTCTGGCCCAAAGAGGACTTCTCCAGAGACCTAGGAAGGCTGGAGGAAGAGAATGGGGGCAGAGGATACGGCTCAGTGCCGAGCTCGAAAGTAGCAGGCACCAGGCCCTGGCTTCCCTCCCCAGCTCCAGAAAAAGAGATACTGAGAAAATGAGAATCAGCACATTCGTGCTACGAGAGACCAACGAGGAAGTCAACCAGAGCTCAGCCAGCCTCCCCAGGGAGGCTGCCCTCGGGGGAAGAGGAGATGGCTCTGGGCATTACAGATGTGAGATGCGCCTCCAATGGCTGGCCGGCAGGGCTTTGTAAGCAGTGAGTGTGTCAATAATCTATGGGCTCCTTTTTTGCTTCATTAGTGAAAGTCAAGTGCTTTTGTTCTGTTTTTGCTGGTCCTGCAGCTTCAGTTCAGAGCTTGGGCACTGTCACTGAGATTTTTTTAAAAAAAATTTTGCCAGTCCTGTGGCTTGAACTCAAGGCCTGGGCACTGTCCCTGAGCTTCTTTTGCTCAAGGTTAGTGCTATACCACTTGAGCCACAGTGCCATTTCTGGCTTTTTTTGTGCACGTGGTACTGAAGAATTGGACCCAGGGCCTCATGCATGCTAGGTAAGCACTCTACCACTAAGCCACATCCCAGCCTGAGTTGTTTTTTGTTTTTTGTTTTAATGGTTATTATAAAGGAATGGACAGAAGGGTGACAGTTACATAAGTCAAGTAAAAAGTACATTTCTTTTTCTTTTTTTTTTTTTCTGGGGTCTGGTCGTGGGCCTGAACTCTGGGCCTGGGCACTGTCCCTCAGCATTTCAGCTCAAGGCTAGCGCTCTACCACTTGAGCCACAGCGCCACTTCTGGCTTTTTTTTTTCTTTTTGCTTATGTGGTGCTGAGGAATCAAACCCAGGGCCTCAGGCATGCAAGGCAAGCGCTCTACCACTGAGCCACCTTCCCAGCCCGTACATTTCTTTTTCTTTCTTTCTGTCGGTCATGGTGCTTGAACCCTGGGCCTGGGTGCGGTCCCTGAGCTCCTCAGCTCAAGGTGAGCGCTCTACCACTTGAGCCACAGCGCCACTTCCAGTTTTCTGGTGGTCTCATGGACTTTCCTGCCCGGGCTGGCTTTGAACCGCGATCCTCAGATCTCAGCCTCCTGAGTAGCTGGGACTACAGGCGTGAGCCACCAGCGCTCAACAAGAGCACATTTCTTTCTGGACAGTGTCGTCCCTTCCCTCACTCTCTCCCACTTTTTCCCTCCTGTCCCCACCTACAAGTTGTACAGTTAGTAGCACTGCTGCATTTGTTCACCCTTTACTGTGCCTCCTCTTACCCTCCCAAAGCCAGAGAAACAAACAAAGAAGACAAAAAGAAAGGAAATAGTAACAAAGGGAAAAAACACCCTCTTGTTTCTATTTCCTGGAGTTCATTTAGATAGACATCATGTCATATGATCTGATGCACATAGCATTGCGCCTCTGGGTTCCTCTCCTAAGCACATTCTCCTTTGGTCTCCCTGTGTGTGGATGCCTAGAGTCCTGAATAATTCTTCATGACCCAGTGTATTTTAGATCTAGCTTCTGCATATGAGAGAAAACATGCATTGTTTGTCTCTCTGAGCTTGGTTTGCTTCACTTAACATGATTTGTTCTAGGCCCATCCATTCCCTGCTAATGACGTAATATCCCTGCCAACATTTGTTATCTGAATCCATGATGTTGGCTAATCTAACTGGGTGAGATGGAACCTCAGAGTTGGTTTGCTCTGCATTTTCTTTATGGCTAGGGATGATGAGCATTTCCTCCTGTGTTTCTTTGCCATTCTCACCTCTTCTTCGGAGAGGTCTCCCCTTAGCTCCCTTGCCCATTTAGTGATTGCTTTATTAGCTTGGGGAGGGGTTAGTTTCTTGTTTTTGTTTTGTTTTGCTTTTTGGTGTTGTTGTTGGTAGTGGTGGTCATAGGCCTGACTCTGGGCCTGGGCGCTGTCCCTCAGCTCTTCAGCTCAAGGCTAGTGCTCTACCACTTGAGCCACAGCACCACTTCTGGCTTTTTCTGCTTATGTGGTACTGAGGAATCAAACCCAGGGCCTCATGCATGCAAGGCAAGCACTCTACCACTAAGCCACCTTCCCAGCCCCGGGGTTAGTTTCTTAAGCTCCTTGTATATATTGAATATTAGGCCTTTGTTGTATATATTGCCAGTAAAGATCTCCGAGTCTGGTAGCTGTCTTGTTGTTGTTGTTGTTGTTGTTGGTTGTGGGGCTTGAACTCAGCCTGGGCGCTGTCCCTGCACTCTTCAGCTCAAGGCTAGCACTCTACCGTGTGAGCCACAGTGCCACTTCCAGTTTTCTAGTGGTTTATTGGAGGTAAGAGTCTCACGAACTTTCCTGCCTGGGCTGGCTTTGAACATGATCCTCAGATCTCAGCTTCCTGAGTAGCTATGATGACAGGTGTGAGCCACTGGTGCCTGGTGTGGCTCTCTTTTTAGTTTAGTAACTAGATGTAAAATTTAGTAACTAAGTGGAATTCCATTTGTCAAGTCTTTCTCCCAACTGCTGTGCCCCTAGGACTCTTCAAAAAGTTTCTGCCTACGCCTATGAGTTCTAGTGTTTCTCCTACTCCCTCTTGCAGTAATTTTAAAAATTGGGGTCTGATGTTGAGGTTTTTGAGTTGAGATTAGTGCATGGTGATAAACAGGGATCCACTTTTAGCTTTCTTCATATGGATATCCAGTTTTCCCAATACCAATTATGGAAGAAGCTACCTTTTTTTGTTCCCCATTGTGTATCTTTGGCTCCCTTATAAATATCAGATAACTGTAAATATATGGTTTTATTTCTGGGTCTTAGTCTAGCCTGTTCCATTGGTCCCATGGTCTATTTTTGGGCCAATACCAAGCTGTTTTTGTTATCATGGCTCTGTTGTAGAGCTTGAGGTCTGGGATTGTGATATCCCCAGCACTGCTTCCTCCCCTCCCCCCACCCCCCAAATTGCTTTGGCTATTCTAAGTCTTTTATTGTTCTATATGAATTTTTGGATTGTTTTCTCTATTTCAATAAGAACTTTATTGGGATTTTGATGTGGATTGCATTAAGTTTGTAGATAATTTTTGGCAGTTATGGCCATTTTTACACCGTTAATTCTACTTGTCTGTGAATGTGGAAAGTCTTCACATTTCCTGATGTCACCTTTGATTTCTTTTTTTTTTTTTTTTGTTGGTCATGGGGCTTGAACTCTGGGCCTGGGCGCTGTCCCTCAGCTCTTCAGCTCAAGGCGAGTGCTCTACCACTTGAGCTACAGCGCCATTTCCGGTTTTCTGGTGGTTTATTGGAGATAGGAGTCTCACGGTCTCTCCTGCCCGGGCTGGCTTTGAACCGCGATCCTCAGATCTCAGCCTCCTGAGTAGCTAGGATGACAGGCGTGAGCCACAAGCGCCCGGCCGTCACCTTTGATTTCTTTCTCCAACTTTTACAGTTGTCACTATAAAGGTCTTTTGCTTCTTTGGTTAAGTTTATTCCTAGATTCTTTTTGAGGCTATTGCAAATGGAGTTGTTTTCCCTCTCTGCTTGCATGGTGTTTGTGTATAGAAAAGCTACTGATTTTTGTGGATTGATTTTGTATCCTGCTACTTTGCCAAAGTTATCTCAAAGCTTGGGAATGGAGTCTCTTGGATCCTTTAGATATAAGATCATGTCACCTGCAAATAGGGATATAAATGACTTCCTTTTTCCCTATGTGAGTCCCTTTTATATCTTTTTCTTGCCTACTGCTCTGGCTAGGAATTCCAGAACCATATAGACGAGGAGTGGAGAGAGTGGGCATCCTTGCTTTGTTTCTGAAAATGGAACCCAGGGCCTTGCTCATGCTAGCCAGTTGCTTTATCTGCCACTGAGTTACATCTCCATACTCTACAAGTTCATTTCCTAAGACATTAAAAGTTGCAAATCATGCTGGCACCGGTGGCTCACATCTGTAATCTTAGCTACTCAGGAGGCTGAGATCGGAGGATCACAGTTCAAAGCCAGCCAGGACAGGAAAGTCCCATGAGACTCTTATCTCCAATAAGTCACCAGAAAACCAGAAGTGGTGTTGTGGCTCAAGTGGTAGAGCGCCCACCTTGAGCTGAAGGACAGCTCAGAATTCAAGCCCCACGTGGAAAAAAACAAATTGCAAATCAGGAAATATCAGCATTATTCTGTTATTTAGATATGTAAAGATACTCAGAAATAACAGAAATTTACTGCAAGTTGTATGTATAGAAGGGAAGTCTGGAGGCTGCTATTTTCTATGAGTTTTAATGTTGTTTGTTTGTTTTGAGGGTTGAACTCAGGGCCTCAAACTTTTTAGGCAAGTATTCTTTTTTTTTTTTTCTATCTAAGCAAGTATTCTAACCGCTGAGCCAGGCTTCCAGCCTTAATATCTTTCCCAGGCTGGCTTCAAATGTATACTCTCCCCTCCTCTGCTTCCCAAGTTGCTGAGGACAGACATGATTACCACCATGTCCACTAAATTTTAGATTTAATTGATTTGTTAAATAATGTGCCTGCATAATTTACATAGAAAGTAAAGTTATTACATTCATATTCATCAATAATATAACTTTTTTGTTTTTTTCTATGCTTTCTGATATAAGCATGTCCAACTTATTGTAAGCACATTTTTATTATCACTATAAAGATGGTATATAGAGGGGTTACCATTACGTAAATCGGGTGATAAGTACACTTCTTTTTTTTTTTTTATGTCGGCCTTCTAAGCACATTTTTTTTTTTGCTAGTCCTGAGTCCTGGGCACTGTCCCATAGTTTATTTTTGCTCAAGGCTAGCACCCTACCACTTGAGCCACAGCCCCACTTCTGGCCTTTTCTGTGTATTTGGTACTGAGGAATCGAACCCAGGGCTTCATGCATGCTGGGCAAACACTCTAC